CTATATATAATGTTTTGGGGTATTTTTTTAGATCAATGATTTAAAATGGCTTCATCTAAACCAATAACATGGCTCTGCAATCAGAGTTTTGCAAAAACAAACGCATGATGTGTTTCAACAGCAACAAAACAGGTTCAACATTTTACTAGAAGCAAAAATAATAATACAGCCATGACGTTAATTTTCCAATCTATCATGAGTAGAATATTTGGAAAGAGACTGTCATCAGTACTAGAAAAAGCTATAACAATTATTGGAATAAAACACACACACACACACACAAACACACACACGAGAGTTGGTTTTATAATCATTGTATTATGCTGACGGTTAACCTGGCATTTGTAGGATGATAGTACAAGTAAATAGCATATCGGCCACCAATACAAGAAGACAAGCACAAAATATAAGACAAATAGAACACCTAGCAGCACAACATGTTTATTTGACAAAGAAATTCCATTTGTTATCAACCAAACTTTCATTTATTATTTAGACGTGTCAACTATTTGAAATAGATAGTAGACAGAAATTTACGGATCTATATTTAATGGTATCGCCATACAGATTAATAAGAAGAATAGAATAATCTCTTGAAACAGCATTGTTAATTTAATTTAGGACTTCCTCAATTATTTGCACCAAGGACGTATAATTCTTCATGATTTTCTCCGAACACTGATTCTCATTTCTCTTCCTCTCGGGTGCTAGGATACATATCTAACTATAATCCAGTTCGTTGGCGGTAGCTACTAAGATTCTGTGGGGCACAGATCAGTACCAAGTTTTTTCGTAGACCATCTTTCAGATCAACGGACAGATGATTTGCGGAAACTATGGTGTATCACTAAGTCAATTTTGAATAAATAATCGTACTTAAAGTAATTCATTCCTCTTTATATGAAAAATTTACGTATTGTTCAAATGTGGTTATATACAGCAACTTAAAGGTTTCTATATTTTCTGTTTGGGTATATATCATTGTACAGATTAAAGAAAGCTTTGTGACAAGAATTAATATGAACTACATGCGCGAATTTTGGTCTCGCCTTAATGAAAAAATGGCTTTCTATACAAAAGGGCTACTCATAGCGGGGAAGGAAACTAGCGGTCTACTTCAAAATGTTGAAATTCAGGAATTTTGTGAGAAATGTTAAATGTTAAACAGCATTCTGAAATATAATATCATTATTTCTCTAATACAAAATAGTACATTTGATTGTATTTTATGTTTTTAATGGTAAAATAAAGTATAATCAACATACATTTGTGTTGCATTTTAAATGTTTTGGAAACAAATCACATACTGCTCATAAAAATGAAAATTTATCAATATTATATCATAATATTATGAATAACAATCTCATGAAGAAAAATATTTAATTTATGAGGCAAATGATGACTGTTTTAAATAAATTTAGACGTGTCAAAAGATAATCGAAGAAAGTCTTTAATCATAGTTAGAAATTAAACATGACAAACATTTAAAACAACTTATTGCTTTGTGCCATTTCAGAAAAGAAAAATTAGAAAAATCAGATTAACAAATTATTTCTTTAAATCAAGTAAAATTATGCACTTTTCAGTTAAAGCATATTGAGTTGTCTACATATTCAAGTTCTTTTCTTTAATTTTGCCTTGTAAAATGTTGCATTAAGTCATAAGAACAGTAGTAAAAGTTCAACATAATTTAACCTGTTGGAAATAGAAACACAGATTATGCAATAGTATATATTATTTCATGAATAAAACATTTATAGCTATAAATATTAAATTAACTTTAAGTAAAAAATATTTAATTAACTTTAAATAAAAAATGGGCAATAAACTGTAAAGTGGCAAAAATCCAGATTTCGTTTGTTTTTGTAATAAACATAAACAATATATCAAGTCCAAAGGAAAACAAAATGAATAAATATTATACTTACTTCAGTTATATAAGTTAAAGTTACTTCAAATGTAAAAGTAAAATATTTGAATATTTTAAACTGAGGATAGCAACGCCCTACCGAAAAAATAAACTGAAACTAAAATGTGTTGCTTTAGAAATAGGCTTCCATGTCTGGACATTAGTTACACCAAGAGTCGACCAGTTTTATACATCGCCATGGAATAAATCTCCAATCATCCTTGCAAATTACTTTAGTTCATTTATCACCATTTGATGAAAAAATCAAAACTTATTTCTCTTGCAGTGAAAACTATCAACAGAAATAATATCTTTTTAATCTGTATTATTTTCTCCTTACCGGGTTTTCAGATTTTGTCTGAAAACCATAAAGATATATATTTTTTTTATTGATATTTCTAATTTGCGTTCAACATAGTACGAGATGCATACAAAAATATCCGATTTTCCTACTAAAACTAATGCTGCGTGCAAAAAAATCATGTGGGTGTAAGAGGATGCCCGCCTTCTTGTGCATGTGTGAAAATTATTGCACCGGTCAGCCGTGTCAGTTCCCGGATGTTACGCCTAGAGTATAGACATGTAGTGTATGATCGTCAGATTTTAGTTTACAACAAATATGACCAAAAAATATATATCGGAGATTCTTGACAAATGTTTGGGAATACTCAATCTTAAATCATTTAGAAGATTCATCAGTCCTTTGGAGGTTATGCCATGGAAAAACTTGGATCAAGGAGTGGTACAACCGCTACAGACATGACTGTACTTCAATGGAGTGCGAGGCACATTAGTTGGTGGGATCATATGATTCCATTTTGACGGAGAATTAGTGCATGTGGAATGTATCGGCTAAATTTGACCCAAGATGCTGGTGGAGCGACAGAAGCAACTCCACGTAGAAATCTCGTGGTTTTCAGATTGGGATAGATCCAGAAGCCACACGGTACCACATTGGGAGAGTAGAGAGCCTGTCGAACAGGTGGCGTGTTTTTGTTGTCCAGGAATGCTAGTTCAATATTTCTGCACGATGGCATGTCATTTTGCGTGGAAACGTAAATCCGGTGATTGCATATTAGGTGTCTGCATTTTAGGCGTAACACCAGGACTATGAAGCTGCCTTCCTGTGCGAAAATGCTCATGCATGTGTCAGAAGGGTGGCAACACCTCGCAACCAAATGATCTTGTACACGTGGCTTTAGATTTGGGGCGAGGTATAAGTTAGATGTTTTTTGAAAGCACCTCGTATATTTAACTTTGACAGCAAAACAACTACAACAAAGTTACTCTATGTGCCGTGTACCAGCAGGACGTTGGCGATCCCGGTTCTCCACAATTATCTGTCGTTGGGTACAATAATTAATAATCTTATGTCTTTTCTTATCTCTCTTACATCTTGTTCTGTCATTCATACACTCAAGATCAACAATGGGTTATGTATTGTTTTTCTCTGTCACAGATGCCTTCGGTCTGTCCTCTGATGTCACATTTTCCCAAGATCCCTTTAATCATTATGTGTCCCAGAAATTTTAACTGTCTCTTTTTGATGTTATATACAAGAGTCGTTTTTGTTTCCATTTTCTCTAAAACTTTGACGTTGTTCATATGCACGGGTCATGGTATTCTCAGCATCCTCCTGTGGAACTAAATTTCTGTTTCCTTTAAAACTCTTCTTCATCATTTAGGAGATTCTCTAGCATTCACATTCATATAAGAGAACTGATATTATGTAAATCTTCAGTACTCTTTTTCTTGTTTCTAACGGACTTTTCATGTTTCTTACTAATTAGCTTTGCTTTTGGAAGGCATGTTTCACTATTCCAGTTGTCCTTCGTATTTCAATGTAGCACTTTCCATCCTCTATTAAAACTCTTCTCAGATGTTTATTTTTATTTTAATTGTGTCGTTTTGGCGTCTTCCATTTTTAATTTGTTTTTTTTTTTCACTGTTCCAAACATACATAGGAAAAACTTATAGTAAAAGAAGTTATTCGCACAAACTATATCCCTTTCTTTTATACACGTATCATAATTCTATAGATAAAATGTTACAAATATCAAAGCAGACATGATTGTAAACTGACTATAAGCGCCATCATTCCTGAACATTAAATTTGACAACGCTCTGGCAACTTTAATCTACGCTTCATAACGAATGTCTTATTAAAATTAATTACATAAGTTTTTGTTTTTTTTTCCTTTATGTTTGATTTATTTTTTTCTTTGGAATATGAAATAGAAAAAAAATCATATTACGTTTACTCATATGTTTTAAATATCCGGGAATAGAATCCCTGTTTTTCCGTGTGCATATGTGTGTATATATTTTTGTGTGCATTTCTGTGCATTCTTCTGCATGTAAAAGCAAACGTTTTTCAATTTCCTTTAGATTTTCCAAAGTCGTTAAGTTCGAATCCTGTTCAAGATTTTGATAGAATATACATTGACATAATCTCAATGATATAAATATGTACAAGAAACACAGGAAAAGTAATAGAAGTAAATTTAATAAGATTTTATATCTTATTCCTTTTTTAAGCGCTTTTGTTCAAATGACTTGTTTTCCTTCTAATGCCTCCGTTATCCATTATGAAAATATCGGGCAGCTGTTTGCCTGTAGATGATTTCCAATATAGAGATTAGTTAATGAGAAAAAATGGATAGTAGGGACATGAATAAGTTTGGGTTCAATGAAGAAAGGAGACAGAAAAGAGAGCGAAAATAATTAAGGAGGATTATTGATATTGTGAAGGAAATCGTAAAGTGTGAGTAAACTTACGCCCAAAGAGAAAGGTAAAGAGAAAATGAGTATTGAATAAAGATAGGACATAATATGAATGAGAAAAAAAAGAAGAGAAAGAATACACAAGTGGAGAAAAGGTAATTTGAAAATGAAACAAAAATATAATTTAGAGATAGAAACAGAGTAAGAAATGAAGGATGGGTCAAGAATTTGGGACAATTAAAGAAAGAAAGAAAGAAAGAAAGAAATTAATTATGGACAAAGTAAAGGGGGAAGAAATAAAAGAAATATTTATGGAGAAGAAAGAAAGAAAGAAAGAAAGAAAGAAAGAAAGAAAGAAAGAAAGTAATTAATTATAGACAAAGTAAAGGGGGAAGAAATAAAAGAAATATTTATGGAGAAGAAAGAAAGAAAGAAAGAAAGAAAGAAAGAAAGAAAGAAAGAAAGAAAGAAAGAAAGAAAGAAAGAAATTAATTATGGACAAAGTAAAGGGGGAAGAAATAAAAGAAATATTTATGGAGAAGAAAGAAAGAAAGAAAGAAAGAAAGAAAGAAACTATGGACAAAGTAAAAGGGGAAAAATAAAAGAAATATTTATGGGAAAGAAGAAAAGAAAGAAAGAAAGAAAGAAAGAAAGAAACAAACAAACAAACAAACAAACTATGAACAAAGTAAAAGAGGAAAAATAAAAGAAATATTTATGGAAAAGAACGAAAGAAAGAAGGAAAAAGAGAAAGTAAGAAAAAAAAAGAAAGAAAGAAAGAAAAAATAATTTCAGACAAATAAAAAAGAGAAGAAAGAAAGAATAATTATGGAAAATAAGAAAGAAAGAAAAAAGAAAGATGACTTAACGGAAAAAGAGAGAAATAGAGAAAATACAAAAAAACGGAGATAGAAATAAATAATTCTCAGTGGGGAGAGAAACAAAGAACATCTAAATAAAATGAAATTGCAGAAAAATTAAACAAATCGCGATAATGAAAGAAAGAAATTCCGAATTGTAAAAAGACGGATCATAATAAAAAGATGATTAAAAAAAGACAGGAAGTTGCCACAAAAGTGATAGATAAAGCATAGTTGGAAATAAGTAACCAAAGAGAAGATATAGAAGCACAACGGAAGCAAAAGAGTGCAGGATATGAAAGAATGTGTGCAAGGAAATAGTGAAAATGAATGCGTTAAAATAAAACAATTTGCAAACTAGGAAGTGTAAAAACGATCGAAATGTAGTATTTTAATAAAATCAATAAGAGTATAATGAAGTTACTTTTCTTTTAATTTATCTTGCGATAGAAAAAATGAATGCTAAAATGATTATAATATTATATCGTATGAAAATGAAAAAAAAATGAGACGAAATGATATTTATTCTGTAACATACAGAATTGTGGCAAGAATGAGATAAAATGACAGAGAAAAGCACATGAAACTATTGCAGAGAGAGAGAGAGAAAGAGAGGGAGATTTTGTGTGTGCATATATGAGAGAGAGAGAGGGAGATTTTGTGTGTGCATATATGAGAGAGAGAGAGAGAGGGAGAGAGAGAGAGAGAGAGAGAGAGAAAATAGAAAAAGTAGACTGTCCACACGCCAAGTAGATGATATCATCGTATTCCCTTTGTGTATTCCCTGTGTTTGCATTTAGGGCAGAATATCTGGAAGGTTTCATTAAAGCAGCTTTCTTATTAAACTGAAGGCGTTTTTTATTATTGTATAATAACTCACTCTGATGATGCCAAACGCAAAAAATAAATAAATAAAGTGAAAAAAAAAACAAGCAAAGAAAATAAACCTTGAACAAATCGTAAAGACAAGAAAGAAGAAAAGACGAACTGTTATCTGTACAAGGAGAGACTGCCATGGTTTTCTGCAAAGAAAACAACTTAAATATGTGCAGAAATTTAACTATCAGTCTAGTGTCAAAACAGACGACTGAAAATGAAGCATATAATACCCGAGACGTATAGAAATCACGAATTATAGCTTAAAAAACAAAGTAACGTATTAAGACAAAGTTTGACGTACGTGGAAACATGTAAAATCGTGATGATCTGCCATATAACGATTTATATGGGGGGGGGAATGTTGGATAATCTCAAATATGGAAAGCTGAATTGAAGAGACACGGAGAATGGATAGAACCCGTGACTCTAACTAGAAAATTCTAATATGAATAAAAAAGAACCTAAAATTTATAATCTGAAACTGAAATCAGAAATTTATAAAAATAATAATGAGGAAGAGTGTCCTAGATAATGTAACACTCACAGGACTAAATAAAAACAAGTATGATAGAAACATCGAAGAGCATATTCAAAGATCTTTTGTGAATGGATGCCAGAAAAGGAAAATACTTGGTAAAGACAAGTGGCTGTGGCGAGACATTATCGTCCATGTTCCTGGCACAAATAAAGCATCTAACCTACTTAATGTGCTATTGAGAATGAATAAGAGCCCTAGGAGGAGGGCCAAGTATCAAAGGTTATTTACGGGAACAAATTACAAGATGTTGCGGAGAACCATGATCAACAACATAATATGTGACTTCGTCGGCTTTATCTAGTATACAATACTGTAATTTCTTCTTTGCTAATCGCTTCCTTGTTGATGATATTGTTAATTTGTCGCCAACGTGCAGCCTCAGGAGTAGAATCTTTCAGTTTCACCTAAACTTGCTCCCGTTATTCATTCACTATCACATTTTGGCTTTGCAAGATTTGAGAGGAAGTTAAAGAAAATCAGAGGAGAAAAAGATGTCGCAATTTGTTTGAGGTGAACCTCAACTTGTTAGGAAGTGACGCACACACTTCATTTCATCATATAAACCTGCAGCACATATGGAACGAGACATGCAGAAACCAGTTATAAAATTGCATAGGACTACCATAGATGTACAATTTCGTGTGGCACCTTCTGTGGCATTTAAGTCATTAGGAACCATTCTTCATCAGCAGGTTTAACGGTTGAAGTCTATTGTAATCATGAACAAGCAGTTCCACCGTTGATCACTTGGTTGTGCTTAGTCTGATCCATCGACTTCGACCTTGAAGGCAAGACTATCAGGTTTTTAGAACACCGCCATTGCTCACAGAATGGTTGTACCACGCAAGCCCTTCCACCTTAACAAGGAGTGACCATCAAATGTAGGCATAAAAAAAAACATACACGCATAAACACAGACCCCCATATATATATATATATATATATATATATATATATATATATATATATATATATAGTAATGTTTACATCGACATCCAGTGTAATATATATATATATATATATATATATATATATATATATATAAAAAAAATATAGTCTTAAGTTTTTGCTATATTTATGGAATAAAGTGCTCAATATCAGAGAGATGTGAATATAAAAGTGAACATAAAAAGTCAACATTTTAAGCGACAGTCTGTTTCATGCTATATGCAATCATCAGGCCACATGACCTGATGATTGCATATAGCATGAAACACACTGTTGCCTCTTAGTGTTGACTTATATGTTCACTTTTATATATATATATATATATATATATATATATATATATATATATATATATATTACACTGGATGACGATGTAAACATTACCTAATTATATATATATATATATATATATATGTGGCACCTTGCATTATTAGAAATATTCATAGAAATATGATTTAATTTTTTCTTACTCGGTTACTAAACAGGTTGTTGATTTTTTTTTAAAACGGAAAATAACTGAGTTGAAAATAATTCACTAAGATTGTACTAGACGATCTTAAGGGAAGAAGAAGGAAAGAAAAGAAAAAAAAAGAAAAGAAAGAAGAAGAGAGAAAAAGAGTTGTATGATGCATGACCCAATTGAGGGTGGAGATAGGAGTCAGAAAGAGATTTAGGTCAGCGTCTTGGCCGATTTTCGAAAGACAATTGGAAGAATAGAATTATAAATAATAAGAAGAAAGAAAGGGAAAAAAGACATGATATCAAAACGGGCCGCTTGATGGAAGCCAGATATCGGTCAAAGCACCTAGCCTACTTTTGCATGGAAAGACACCTTATCAATTTGGATAAAGAGAAATTTTGGGAACAATGAAACAATCTTAATCAGAGAAAAAGTGTCTTTTGGGTTGAGGGGAGTGACCGGTGGAACGGTATACAGGCTCTGACCTGTTAAAAATTAGAACCCCCACGTTAATAAAGTGGAGACATTTTCAAAGTAGATAATTAAGATTTTCGACTATCAGGAAAAACAAAGAGGTAAAAAGAGGGACAGTTGCTTTTGGCTCACGGAGGGCGCCAAGAAGGCGGAAAAGATCCTTTCTAAAGTCAAGACTAATTAGCGGCGGGCTGTTTGACAAAGTCCAGGTGAGAGAAGGCCAAGATGGTCATTTTTCGTACGTGCAAAAAAAAAAAAAGGAAAAATTAGATTTTGTTTTTTTTTAAACAAGAACGATGTAACCACGCCCGCAACAAGAGGAGAAAGGATGTTCGATCAATAACAATTGGTCGGAGACGGTCACGTGATCTGCGGAAGAGAAGGGAAAGAAATGCTCGATCAGGAACGATTGGTCGAAGACGGTCACGTGATCTGCGGAAGAGAAGGGAAAGAAATGCCCGATCAGGAACCATTGGTTAAAGCGGTCACCTGACATACGAGAGACCGAGAGATGGATATGCGCCTCCCCACCAAAAAGCACTATGAGGAAGTAGGGGTGAAAACAATAGCGATAATGAGAAATCAAAAATAATGCGACTTTTGGAATTATCGAGAAAACCCTGACGCCGACAGACCCACCCCAGTTTGTTGCGGCGTCAATATAAGCAGGACCCCAGTCGACAGAAATCAGTAGAGTTGGAGTTGCAGTTGGAGTTGAGAGTTGGACCGCGGGCAGGGATAGAGCCTGAACGCGGCCATCAGGCCCGATTCACTCGCCCCTTTGCGGGCAGAAGAATCCTCAGACAAGAAATCCTTCCAGCCCAAGTCGAAGACAGGAGAACTTCCAGCCCAAGTAGACGAAGAAGAAGATTGCCTGAAAGCCTGAGAAGAATTGGAGATGCAGACAAGCCGAAAGTCGATGAGAAGTTAAAGTTCAGCCCCGGACGGCAGTGAGAAGAGACCACCTCAGACGACAGAGAGTTGCGGCTAAGTTGAAACAAGAAATCTTCCACCAAGTTGAAACAGGAAAACTACCAGCCCAAGCAGACGAAGAAGAAGAAATACAACTCAAGTCGGAGAGAAGAATCAACTGCGAATGATCGATAGAAATTAGCCCCAGTGTCGAACTGAACCACACCCGACATACATACATGATCCTAGAAAGTAGGTAATTCGACATTTTTTTATTGTGTGATAGAAGCTTGGTGCCATAGTCCACAGAGCGGGTCGGGAATTGAGAACAATTTTGTTTTTTATGTAACGGACATTAAGATATAAAGGTTGTTACCCTTTTTATCAGCAATTTTGTTTAGTGTCATGAGTTTTGTTTTATTTGTGTTTTGCCACCCCCGTCGGACTCGACTTGTATCGGCCCAAATCCCTGCTGGTCCCGTCTGTCTAAGATCTAAACACAGCGTGGGTAGACAGACCGGAGATCGGTATAGTTGCTTTAGTGACCAGGTATTGGAAGCGAGTCGGGAAAGGCGAGGCTGGTGATCATCTGACCAAAGGGTTGGAGCGGCACGCTTGGACCCAGGAGGAGCGACCAGGAGGAGCGACGTCACCGTTGGCGCCGTAACCAAAGGATCCGACACTGGGCCAGGTGTGTAACCGTCACATATATATATATATATATTACAATGGATGACGAAGTAAACATTACCTATTATTATTATTTGTTTAGAAGCCAAACAGTGAATAAGTAAATAAAAATGTAATTTATTTTCTTCATCAAATATATTAGAATATTTCTTCTTATTGTTGTTGTTAGAATATTTAAAAAGATAAATAACAGTGGAAGAAACTGGCTAATCTGATCTGAACAAATATTGAAAAAGGAAAATAAACTCATGGCTCGAAACACATTTCTTATAAATAGCAAAATTCGTCCTCGTACATAAAAAAAATATCTTACTACAATCAATAAATAAGTAAAGGATAAAAAAATATAATTATCGGTAAATGTTGTTTAAAATCTTTGAATGTTAAATGATAGGAAAAGAAATCGACGATACTGAACCAATTGTAATAATTAAAGAAAACAAATATTACCTCACGAAATGCTTTTCCAAAAAATCTCTGATATTACGTAAAATCTTTCATAAAAAGAGAAATGTTATGCTTCAATATTATAGAGTAGAATTATTCATGCTAATGTATAAGCAATTAAATATTCTTAATATCATAATCCTTAGTTGTAACAGAAATTCTTAATAAAGTAAACTTGCAAAACCACTTAAAAACAAAACAAACAATCTATTTTAATAAAGATTAAAAATGAATATTAATATAAATTAATATAAAATAATATAATTAACAGTTTAATATAACAAAGAAAGAAAATATAAATAGATAATTAAAATCAAGATTTCCCTTTTAAACTACTAGAATTTTTCGCAACAAATGTTGAAATGTTGTCAGTATTTGGAATTCTTGAGTTTAATGCTAACATTTTTTGGTTTCGTTGAATTTTGCATATCGATTGTTGAAATTTTGAATAAGCTGATTTATTTGAAAATAGTTTA